ACAGAGGATATGGATGGATCGATATGAGTGTGATTGTGAGTGTGTGTGATGTACAACGAACTATAAGCACTTAATTCAGTGCTGGCATCACACTTGCCATTTTAATTATAAAAGGGTGAAAGCACCCTCCCAGTACAGATGTTTCCTAAGGACCTGCTGGCTGTCTTCTATTATATTATACTTCTACATGTGGTCCTTTCACAAGTTCCACCACTCTCATGGTGTTAGTCAGTCTCGATTTTTCTTTGCAGCTTCTGTCCTCATTTTCAATGAACTGCTAGAAAATAATCTAAATCACTAAAATTTAATTGGAAGCCTTGAGTATCAGGTGAATTATCTGACCTGCTACCCTGTACCCCTCTTTGGTCAATATGGAGAAGAAATCTAAGGGGAGAAAGGTTAAACAGGAAAAAAGGCAGCAGGGAGAGAAGAGGAAGAGGTGTGCAATCAGGGGGAGGCACAGGGGACCCCGCATACCATCATCATTCACCAGGGAGCAGGCCAGGGCCTGAAAACATACTCCAAGGAGTTTACGCTTTCACAGGAGATTATGCCATTTCCATTTCTTCATAGTTACTATAAGGCAGTACTTTATTTTTTGTCTTTAGAACTATTGTGGAGGGAAGAATGAAAGGCAAATCAGAGCCCACGAATAAACTGTCCCGACTCCTTACAGATGACTCATTTTCCCTTCCCCTTCTATGATTTACAAACTTTCATAAGACTTCTATAATCTCGCACCATCGCTAAGTGTTTTTGCTCAAAAAGCATTAAAGATCCCACTGCTTACAGACAACAATCCAAACTCAGACCACAGTCGAAGTCCTAAATAATCTGTTGTCAATCTAAATTCTAATCTTACTATTGGGTAGAACAGATTTTTTTTCACACTAAGGTTGCCTGATCACAAGATAATCACAGTCTGATATATGGTAGGGAACAAGTAACAACTGCAGGAAATGGGTACAGTGAAGGGCTGTGTTGAAGGGAGAAGCCTGGAGTCTGAGGCCTGTCTATTAATTCACTCTCAAACAGCTTAGAAGAGGACCAAATAATGATAAATGTGTGAAGTGTAAAAGTAGAAAATTGGCAAAAGCAGGCTCTTTCTATTTTAATCATGCCGGAATCAGATCAGGCCTGAGACCTCAGCTTCTGAGAATTAGGGTACATCCCAGTGGTAATGACTCATTATCATGATTCATAAAACTGCAGAAAATGAAGAAGTACTGGGATATAGATGCCTCAATAGCTCTCTGGAGAACCACAAAAAAAGAATTTAAATAAAGTTCAATAAGTGAGCAATGCTTTCTTTAAGGAAAAGAAAGTATTAATGTGTAAAAAGACTACTGGAATTGTGAATGTTTAAAGACTGGCCTAAATTTTGAAGGTCTCTCGTAAGACATTAAGAACAGTTGAGCACAGTGGTGTTAATACGATGGAAGCAGGTATTTACTCGTATTTCATGCTAAAACTTTTGAAGTACTCATTTAAACTGAAATATTGTAGCCAAATGAAATATGTCAGTTGGCTACAATAACCAAACTTTCTAATTACAATTTTGCAACTTTTCATGAAGTCATTTTTTTAAATATTAAATGTTTTTATTAAAAATCAGAGCTGTCAAAGGAGGGACAAGGCAACATAAAAACATTTATCAATAATACATGCGGGTAATCTCAAAGTAATCTTTAAGCACAACTGAAAGTCCCTCACCTTTCCTGGGCAGGAGCTGGAATCTCTGCTGGATCACAGGAGAGACATGAAGAGGGATAGCTGTTCTAGACAAATTAACTTATTGCTCCTGGCAAGCTAAAAGCTATGTTTTCCCTCAACTCAGCAAAATAATTTAGTCCTCATTCTTTTCTGTGACGTCACTGAAGACAGAAAGTGGGCTCCAAACTAGTAAAATACTGTATTGATGTAATTTGTTAATCTCTTCTTTTAATCAGTGGGATATTTTAAAGTTACATATTCAGAGACATCTATAATTATGCAAGAATGAGGGACAAAAGAAGAGATAAAAACTAACTTAAACAAAGTAAATCAACCAATAACTAACTAAATAAAATAAACTCAATCCAAAGTTGGCAGCTTTCCAGAAAAGCATGAGTAAAGTTTTTGGTTTCTATGACAGCAGATAAACAAATGACTTGTATCTCACACAAGTTATCTTTGTGAAAAGAGCTCTTTCTCTTAAAAAAAAAATTAATTGCCAGATTGAAATAAAATTCCTTAACACATACAGTAATTAGGTGAACAATTGGTTTCAATGCTAAAAGGTGAAATTTCATCAATAAATTTTGTAACATTCCCCCAAAACACTGAATACCCATGTATGCATTTCTTTTGGGTAGTAAGAATTTTATTCCTTTTTTTTGTATTTTATTTAATTTAGCATAAAGACCAAAAAAAAGAGAAGTCACTTGATCTATACGGGAAGAGAAGTCATGTTGCGCAAGAGACATCTGGAATAGGCAAACTGTGGCTCTGTGAATCTCAGACTTGGATCCTACAGTCAATGGTGTATATTATTCAAAAATAATTTTGATATCATCCTTTATAATCATCCTTATCTAAAGTATACCATATTATACTAAATATTTCATAATAAAAATGTACATTTTCTAGACAAAGTCAGAAAGAAAATATTCATTAGGTTCAAAACAAGCACCAACATTTACAGTATAGCAAGTAGGAAGACTGGCTATGATTACCACTGATATCAATCATTTTAAATAAACATGGTTAGTGTCATTCAATTACACCAAGGTTAATATGAAGATTTATCAGATTTTTGATCATGGTAGGTCAATAACTTTGGCTGAATCAATACTGTAAAAGGTGAAAAATTCGGCTGGCTTAGAGATGTTTATTATTAGTAGGACTCTTTAAAAATTTTTTTTTTTTTTGGAGACAGAGTCTTACTCCGTCTCTGAGGGTGGACTGCTGTGGTGTCAGCCTAGCTCACAGCAACTTCAAACTCCTGGGCTCAAGCGATCCTCCTGCCTCAGACTCCTGAGAGGCTGGGACTACAGGTGTGCACCACCAAGCCCAGCTAATTTTTTCTATTTTTAGTAGAGATGGGTCTCGCTCTTGTTCAGGCTGGTCTCGAACTCCTGACCTTAAGTGATCCTCCCGTCTTGGCCTCCCAGAGTGCTAGGATTATAGGCGTGAGCCACCACACCCGGCCAGTAGGGCTCTTTAAAATTCTAAATCATCTTGGAATTATATTCCAAACACAGTGCAATTTTGTGCACCCTTCTGAAACGAGGGATTTTTATGGTAAAAATTCTTGTTTAAACTTCTGATTCCTTTTAAAAAGTTAAAACAGGCACCTTACTACCTGTTAAACATGTGTACTAAAAAAGACTATGACCATAATATGTATATTTTAGATTTTAAAAAGACTACAAAGAGATGAAAAATGCCACCTCCAATTCTAGAGCATTGCATATCATGAAATGAAACTTTCTGAGGTGATAGCAAGCACTTAATCTAAAACCAGGAGTCTAAAAACAGAATCAATAAAGAAAATGGAATGTTTTAAAACAAATGAGTCACATAATGAGTAACTAAAGAAGGGTATGAATATTGAGAGCAACTGAATTAATAGTGAACTAACACAAAGAAATAGCATACAATAAGGTACTTTAATATTTGAATGCTTTAGGAAAATATTTTAAAAAGGACTCAAAACCATCACTGCTGAGTGAAATAAAATATACCATGGAAGAAACAGTAAATTTTCATACAGCTGTCATTGTCATAGGTAGCAATGAGCTCCCTAGTTGTTGTCCTCAGGCTGGTTAAGCTACCCTCAATCAAGCTGGCAGTTCAAGTGGGGACCAGCCTACTGGAGAGAGCCTGGCAACTGTACCCCAGGATGTCCCTGAGCCACGAGTCTTAAGAATACCAGATGGATGGCCAGGTGCTTTGAAGGCCTCACAGTAGGGTTCAGCTCTGTGGTCCTGAAGCAAATCAGGTATTTGGATAGGTAAGAAAATACTTAGGGGAAGACAAAGTGACTTTGAGCCCCAGAACCACTTGGTTGGAAGCACATCAGCTGTGGGGAATGAAGGCTCACGTTCTAGATTAAAAGGATGAACACAGAAAAGGAATAAAATAGCTTAAAGGAAGGAGAGAAGTAAACAGGCATAAAGAATGACACACTGGCCGAAAACACCAGTCGTTCACCGAAGAAACAAGGATAAATAGCGATAACTTACTTAAAATGTCTATAGTGGAATGCATAGTTGTTTCCAGAGCCTTTCCCTTTGATGTTATACATATTACTATGAATCCATTCTGTAATTTTCTTAGTCTTTTCCAAGAAAGAAATTAAAACTATACTCTATACACATCTACATCTGGAGGTTCAAATTTAAGTCAGGGATGAAGAATAAAACTCAACTTTATGCTCTAAATTTCTTTTTAAATACCTCATAGAGAGTTTAAGATAAATGCTTATTATTAAAATAAAATAGCATAGGGAGGGGCGAAATGAAAAAATTCCAGCACAGAACTAAGACTCCCCAAATGCTTTGGTTCATTCCCTTCTGCTGCGATGAGTCTTCCGTCAGGTCCAATGCACCTGACTTTCCAGTTAGCCCTATTTTTTTCCCTTGCATGATAATGTCTCTTTAAAAAACAAGCAGAACATCCCCTTATTTTTAGTAATTCCAACTTCTTCATTTTTGATCATTTTTTTCTTACTATGAATTAGACAACTAATGTCATTTAAAAACGACACTGACAAAAAATTCAGCTAAAACTTTCATCAAAATTACCTTGAAAACTGAGATAACTGGCCTCCTTTGTCTTTATTTTCCATGTGACTGGCCCTTTTTAATCACTAAGGAAGTAGCACTGAGCCGGACCTGACATGGTTAAAAGAATGTTGGAGACAGTTGAATATGACCCACAATCTAAATATGACTTTTTCCCTAATGTTTTTTCAGAAGAGAGTGGGAATTGGAAGCAAGGAAAAAAATCACACTTACAAGTCCACTTATGGCTACAATCCAGATGTAGGAACCAGAGGTGAAAAGCTATAAAAGAAAAGAAAAAATGCAACTAAAAATGAAATTCAACTGCCAGTCACAGCATACTTACTTTTACATAACTATAGTCATGACCATTTATATTAAGTATTAACTATATATGCCATAATATAGATAATCAAATAAAAATTAATAAATATCAATTCTATTATTTAAAAGAAAATATTACTATTATTATTATTATTATTATTTTAATCAAGACCTCAGACTTTGTATAGCTTAAAACAGATTGGATGGACCTGGCCCACTTCCATGCAAAGAAAAGTAAGTGAAATTCAAGCATATTCTTATTTATAAATGGGCACCAACTGACTTAAAAAAAATAAAACACTACATATAAAAAATTATTAGAATTAACAACATACAAAATATGTGGTCATCATCCCATGCTTGGTGTTAGGTATGATATCTATTTACATAATTTTCTCATTTTAATTTCTTATCATTGTTACTCTAAATTTAGATGGGAAGAATTCCGTCAGCCAAATAGGTCCAAGTCCAATGCCTACCTGTCCTAAATACTGATATGCTCATTATAGCTCACCCAAGGAAGAGCAAAATAAGGAACAATAGCAAAGTTAATTAATGGCAAAAGTAATTAGATTTAGATCTCACGAAATCTTTTCCTTTGTTTTCCAAATCATTTATATCTGAGAATTGTGCTCAGGGTTTAAAAAAAAAAACAAAAAAAACCATAAGCCATTTCAAAGTGTGCCCGAAGGAAAGAAACGATTTGTGGCCTATTGATTGGGAGTTTAACTACTTCCGATGCAGAGAAGAAGTGGGACACTCAGGCAGGATAGCCCAGGTTCACTGCAGATGCTGTGCTGGATGAAAATCTCAAAGTTCTGCACACTTACCAAGGACGCACAGAAAGAAGACAGAGACAGAGGGGAAGAGCTGACAACATACAGATAAAAAAGAGGCAGCGCCAGCTTTAGTCCTAGCTCACCTAGAAACGAGCATTGGCTGCAACTTTAAATTTGATCCTCTGATCTAGCGTGGATGCTTGTTTAGCATAAATGACTCATAATAACAAGGATGAGAATGGTGTAGACAAATATTTTGCTGTAGTTTTCTTGTAAAAATAGAAAGAATAATAAACTAGCTAACACTTTCTATGTGCCCGGCATTGCCCTCAAGGCTTTTCATGTGCTGAACTCACTGAATCCTCCTCACCTGATGAGGGAAGTTCACTTGATTTTTCCAAGAGAAAACCTAGCAGTTAAGTAATCTGCCCCGGGTCAGCAGCTAGTAGGTGGGGCTGGGAGTGCATCCAGGCAGTCTGGGCTCCACAGCCCACGCTCCCCACTCCACTATGTCTCATACACAAGTAAAAAGAGCATGTCATTTTGTCAGTTAAAAAAAATGATTTCCTCTGGACTCTTAAGCCCCTCATCTTATCACACTCGGTCCCAATTGTGTCTGCTTACATTCTGACAGTGTGTGTTTTCTCACCGCTGGGCTCCCTGGGGACAGGTGTCATGTCTCATACTTCATTTCATCCTCCATAGCCCCAGCACAGGGCATGAGAGGGCTGGCTCACAAGCCATTTGATAATGTAAATGACTCTTAACAAGCATTTTGACCCTTCTGATTATGATTAAAGTCATTAACTCATTAATTCATTCACTCAACAATGTCCTTGGCTTCAAGTAGCTGTGGTGGGGAGGGAGAAAGGCCCAGAGGGGAAGGGGGCAGGAGAGGATGGACATTTCAGGAATGGAGAGCTCAGCCATACTCCTTGGGGCTGGGCAGGGCTGGGAGTTGGTACTGGACAAGCAAGAAGAACCCTGGCTGCCTTCATGCCGAGGACTTGAGTTTTCAAGAAGCCAGTGAGGCATATCTCCACCTCTGCTTTCTGATACCAACTTCTACCTCACAAAGTTATTGGAAATATTATGAAAACATTAGAAATTTATATTATCGTGAAAAAAATACCTGTGGTAGTTGCATCTACATTTCTGCCTTTGGCATGGCTAACAGGACACTTCCACTGTGAGCCACAAAATACTGCTGAAATAGCACTAAACACAAGGGCTCCCGTGACGGAGGCTATGCGGCACCTCTGTCCAACTAGGATCCCTTTTCTCCAAAAGATTAAACATACTACTCATTTTGCTTTATGCCAAAAAATAAAAAAGCAACAAAAAATACATCCACAATCTCAGAAAAACAACTGGTGGTACCTATGGAAACATAAATTATTAATTAATAATTGGAGCCAACTGACTTAGCTTTTTATCTATTCAGATTACACTAAACATGTAATACTATTATCTCTACTTCTTAAAATACCCCTGTAAAGTAGATATTATCCCCACTGTACAGAAGGGGGACAGGTGGCTCAGAAAAGGTAAGTGACAAAGCCAATAATTACCAGACCAAGTCATTAAACCAAAGTCCATGTGGCTCCAAAGACTTTCTACAATGCCACACTGAATTCCTACTCCATAATTAATAAAACAGTGCTTTTCATCTGCAAAGATTCTACCTTAGAGTTGGAAGGAACTACAGTTAACATGAGGCTCAGAGGGGTTCCATGACTTCCCTAATTTGACCCAAGTCTCATGGCCAGTGAGAGCCACAGTGGGACTAGAACTTGGGTCTTCTGAACCAGGTCTAGGATTCTTTCCATCATTCCACACTGCCTCTGACACAAGGCTTTAGAAAGTTAAATCTGCTACAGCAAATCCAAACCATAAGAAAAAACTACAGAAACGGACCATTTGGCTATACAAATATTAGGTAGGATAAGGGGGTGTGTAACAGTATGGCGGGTGACAGATGAAAAACAGATTTCATGAGAAACGGTCGTAAAAGTAGTAAGGAAACACCCACCCCAGATGAGCCATTGATAGCACTTGACAGCAGACTGGAGCAGTGAGAGGAAATGCTAAAGGTTAAAAGGGGAGGGAGGAGGGCATTTTGAAATGACACTAGTATCCGGTCTGCTATGTGTGGGATAAAGAATGTTATAAGTATTAATCAGTGGATCAAAAGGCCAGGCTACACATGGCAGCACAGGAAGCTGTAGAATAAAACTACATCAAAAGCTGTGAGAGTAAAAGAAAAGTGACAAGTAGTACAAGGAGAAAACTGAAAATCGTGTGTGTCTTCTACCACAGGGTCTGGAGCCCAGCAGGGAGCAATCAATATTCACTGAATATTGGTGAAGATAACCTTTCCGAATTTAAGTGAGACAATAAGTCTCTAATGGGCTTCATAGCAAACCATGTAGCAAATGGTGACACTACCATCAAGTCCACACAGACATAGAAATAATAAAGTTGGAAATGCTTCACGAAAACCCCAAAGCTCAGGCTGGTAAAGCATACTAGGTTTCTTCTCCAGAGATTCATTTATGACACCGCATTCAATAAATTAATTTCATGTTGATTTTCTACCTTCTACCTTTTGATTGTTTTCATTTGTTTCCACTTCATACTATGATTTTTTTAAAGCACTTACACGCAATTGTACAATAAAATGAAAATATTTTCCACTGATACAAATTACAGTGAAAGCTCTTATCAGATTTCTAAAGACTATGAAAGTGTATTCTAGTACCTTCTATACCTTGATGCTCTTGTTCTGTAACACTTCCTTTGATCATTTGATATAGATCATAAGCAAAACTTATGGGGAAAAAGACACTGTTTTCAAGGAGATCAAATGAGAAAAAGACCAAAAAAAAAAAAAAATCTGGTTAAAGAAATGTGAACATAAAAATGCATACTGTACCTGTAGTCCCAATATATAAATCAATGTCTTGTTTGTGATGGACAACGGGCCCAGAATTTGTGCCACTTGGACTCTCGGTATGGAGCAGTAAAATGGTACAAACAGAGCAAACACAGGTGCCAGGCTATGCAAACAAATAAAAAAAAAAAATCACACTAGTATAAACAGTGAATTTAAAATACCAATGGCAGATGTATATTTGAAGTAACATTGCTTATAATTTTACTTCAGTCTGAAAGCATGGTCATAGATACACAAGTTGGTTTCCAAACATGCATGATGGCCACAATAATTTGTACTTACACAAAATACTTTATGAAAACTCTAATTATCCTATCCTATCCTGTGAACCCTTCCGAAACCACTGCAAAGTGTTTCAGCATCTATTAATTAATTGTGAGGCACCGTGAGAAAATTTAAAGGGGATGCTACATTTTCTTCCCACGTATGACTAAAACTCTAATGAAAGAGACTAGACAAACCAAAAGCAACAAACGTTAGAATTCTTCATGGTCAAATCCCAAAAGCCTCATCTCAGGCCTTGTCCAGTGATGTGTCCCCATAGTACTGACACTGTTCACCTCCTGCCCTCCCTCCCTCAAATTTCTTCCTCCTTTTGTCTCAAACCTTGTTTCTCACATCAGTTTCCCAATGATTTCTCAAACCACTCTCCTGCCCTATCCAGGGTTCCATTATAGTTTTTTCTTCTTGCTCTAGTCTCTGCCTGTTAATACAATCTCAACCTGTTCTATGGCTTCAACTAAGAAAATGAAGTCAGTCCTAAAACTGCCTGCCTGCCCCTCACCCTGGCTCTGAAATTCAATTTGACACCTTCAACTTGACAGGTACAAAAGTCACATGTGTCTTGCTACTTAAAGTCTTGCTTCTCTCTAATCCATCTCTAAATATTGTTAACAGTATTCCCCTCCCCAAACACAATGCTGATCATGTTACTTGCTTGCTCAAAATCTTTCCTTCCACAGGCTGCCAGGATCCAAAGATGGATAGCACAGCAAAGCTCTGTGGTTCTTTCTTATTGCTGCAGATTCCCACAACTGCCCTCCTCTCTTTCTCCCGCACCTGGCCCATCACACACAAAGCTCCCTCTCTCACACATGCACACGCATGTGCGCACACACGTGGCTGCTCTCTGGGCATGTTAGGCTCCTTTGACTATACACTGACACAGGTTATTCTTTCGACCTAAAACGTTCTTTCTACTTTCCTGCTTAGGAAACCCATCTTGTATGACACTGCTCAGCTCTTCTCAGAAGACTTCTTGGACTCCTCCTGGTGGTTAGTAGCTCTCTTCTTGCCCCCAAAGCTATGCCAGTTTCACTGTTTCAGTGAATCAATGAATCAACTGGGCACTGGCCAGGTCAAGGCAGGATGCCCAGCACAGGAACTGCATCTACATCTAGGAGTAAGAAGCAGTCCCTAACCTCAGGGAACTCATTTCAGGATTGCAAACTCACATTCTTACAAGGGCTAGGCAGGGAACATGAATGAGCAGAGTGGTTTGGGCATACACTTGCACCCATTTTTCATTAAACACTAGGCTTAATTACTCAGTCTATCTTTTACTTTCCCGTTTTTTTTTAGGAATGGCATCAGTACAAAGAATTATTTCATTACCATAAGAAAAATGCAAGAACTGTTTTTCACTTCTACAAAGAGACGTCTTTGCTGCCATTATCATGGAAACACAGGACCCTCCTGGCCTCTTGTGCATTTTCTCATCCTTGATAGAGACTATGTTATAAAAAAATCATTCACTGCCCTCTCAATTCTACTATTAAAAACAAAACAAAACCAACACACACACACACACACACACACACACACACACACACACACACACACACACAGCAAATGTGATCAACTGCAGCCACATCAACAGGTATTGATAAGAATGCAGCAAATGCTAGAACAGGGAAAACCCCGACCAGTAAAGGTCTAAGTGCAAGCACTGGGGGTACAGAGATATGTAAGATACACCTGGCCGGCCATCTAGGCCATCTAGTGAGGAGGACAGCAGGGTCAGGGTAGCAGAGGGACATGCACAGCAGGCTCTTAACACATTCATCAGTCTTGAACTCCACCTTCCTCTGGCCCCCCAGGCTGAGCACACCCCAGGGCAGGGAAGGAAATGTAGCCCTGTTTCCCCCAGCATCTGGCACAGGGTTTGGCACAGTTTAGGAGCTCCTTAAATCTGAGGCAATGAAATAATCCTTATTCTTGAACAATTGGATGACCCATATTTTAATTAACTATATAGGGTTTTCGAAAATCTCCCACTAGATTATTAATTTTGAGAAAAAGTGCCATATTTTATTGAGCTTTGCCCCTCCCTAGTGCCTAATGCAGATTCTTACACATAATCCAATTGGGTATTTGCTGGATTAAAAAAAAAATTAACAAAGTAATTTCTAAATACTACACAAAAGAACTGCTTTTGTCCAATTCTAAACCCAATTAAAACAGCTGTGCCTTCTTTTCATTGAAAAGTACAAGTTAGTCACCCCTGGACTTAAGATTCTTGACTCCCCTCCTTAGAGTAAAGGCCAAGGTCATGACAAAGACCTACGAGGCCCTGCATCCCGCACCTCTCCCATCTTTTTTTTGGAAAAGTGCAAATATTTAATGACATCATCAAAATCTCTATTGTTATTGTTTTTAGGAATAAAATATTTTATGGTATTTACAGCTTTTAATTACAGGCATACCTTGATTTTTTACACTTCACTTTGTTGCACTTTGCAGATACTTTCTTTTATACATTTGAAAGTTCATGGCAACCCTGCATCCAGCAAATCTAACAGTGCAGGATTTCCCACAGCATGTACTCACTTCATGTCTCTGTGTCGTATTTTGGATAATTCTTAAAACGTTTCTAACTTTGTCATGATTATTGTATCTGTTCTGATGATTGTGATCAGTGATCTTGGATATTACTGTTGTAATTCTTTGGGGGCACCATGAACTGTGCCCATAAAGATGGTCAACTTAATCAATAAATGTTGTATGTTCTGACTGCTCTGCTGATTAGCTGTTCCCCCATCTATCTCCCTCTCCTTGACCCTCCCTATTTCTTGAGACAAAAGAATGTTGAAATCAGGACAATTAATAACCTACATTGGCTTATAAGTGTTCATGAGAAAGGAAGAGTCACACATCTCTCACTCGATTTAAAACAAAGGCTATAAATGATTAAGCTTAATGAGGAAAGCAGCTCAAAAATCAAGATAGGCCAAAAGCTATGCCTTTTGTGCCAAAAAGTCAGCCAAGTTCTTTTTTTTTTTTTTCCATCTTCTGCTCTGTGGAGCAGCACCTTCTCAGAGAAGCCCCCTGACCACCACACTTCAAACTACAATCCCCCACAGCCCCACCCCACTCTATTCCTTTCCTATCTTTCCCCATAGCACCTACACCCTTCTAATCTACTGCATGACTTATTTATTTATCATCTATTTCCCCGACTAGAATGGAAGTTTTACAGGACAGGGCCTTTGGTCTGTTTTGTTTGCTGCTTTATCCCCACTGTCTAGTACTGTTCCTGGTACATAGTAGGTATTCAATGAATATTTTCAGGAAAAATACATTTTCCTTCAAAACAGTAAAATTATACAGCAGAATTTGCCTTTTGTTTAAAAAAAAAAACAACAAATAAAAACTCTTTTCCTTGGTAATGGATTTAAAACATATGGTTTCAGCTGGGTGCAGTGGCTCATACCTATAATCCTAGCAGTCTGAGAGGCCGAGGCAGGAGGATCACTCAGGCCAGGAGTTCGAGATCTGTGTCTATAAAAAAATAGAAAATTTAGCTGGGTGTGGTGGCGTGTGCCTATGGTCCTATCTAGCTGCTTGGGAGGCTGAGGCAGGAGGATCACTTGAGCCCAGGAGTCTGAGGTTACAGTAAGCTATGATGACACCACCACACTCTATCCCGGGCAACATAACGAGACCCTGTCTCAAAAGAAAAAAAAAAAACACATACAGTTTTATACATATGCTCAAAATATCTCCTATTGATCTCTTGGTTAATAAAATCCCACTGGGGCTAGCCAATTGCACTGGAGCTCTCACCACAGAACATGTCCTTTGAGGTACTAATTTCATAGTTCTGTTTACATTTGGCAATAAAGTATAAATAGTATTGTCATAATTAAATAACTTGAAGTAGAGTTCTTGTTTGAGGTTCTGTTTCACTGTAAACTAAAAAAGACTGATAGGAATTTTAGTGACCACAGTTTACATCTTATACACCAATAGAAGAAGTTTAAAAATTCCTTAAAAGTTATGAATCACTGTATAATTTTAAATGATGACTAAATACTAGACCACATATACGTATAATATTAACACAGAAGCACATATTTCAGACCAGAATTATATGGGTTGTTCTGCAGAAATTTTCCATTGTTATTTCTATACACATAGACTTGACAAAATACCATAATGTTATTAGTCACTGACCAGTTTTTCTCTTTTCCTTATTTTACGAAAACATCTGTTCTTCATATTGCCAACAATACTTCAGTTTGACCTTTTTCATATTGTGAATAACTAACTTCTGAAAGCCCTTTCTGGCTTAAGCATATGAGGCTAGCAGTACAGAAAAGGAGGAGATAGATTTTAAAGAATTCATTCATCCTTTAATTAATACCACTAATATTTACTGAACACCCACCACCATATAGTCACAATGGTACTTGATAGAACAAATGAAACAGAGACCCAGTTCAAGTTGAAAACATCCATTTCACCTCTTTTATAGAAAAGTACGTCAACTCCACTTTTATAATACAATCACAGCTCAAGAAACCCAGGTAACTTTCAACAACAATAAAAATAAGGTTTGTGAGCTCATGAAATGATCTCATATGCAGCTTTAATAGCATCTTGCAGGACAATTGCCCTATAGCCCCTTCTTCATACACTTAACTACTCTGATACCAAAAAAACAAAAACCAAAAAACCAAAAAAGGATAGACCTAGTTTGCCAGAAGAGCTACTTTAACTAGTTGAATCCTTCACTATATAACAATGTTTCACTTAGTAATAACTATTTCAAAAATTAAAAGCCAAAAAACTCCACCAGGATGAGGATGGCCTTTCAACAAATCAAAAACTTTCTCAGTAGTGTCATCTTTAAGTAAGGAGGTCGCAGCATTACAAATTCCCACCAAGTGATTTTCAGCAGTCCCCAACCTTTTTGGCACCAAAGACCAGTTTCATGGAAAACAATTTTTCCACGGACTGGGCTGGGGTGGAGTGGGGATGGGGGTGTGGTGGTGGTGGGGGAAGTTTTGGGATGATTCAAGTGTATTACATTTATTGTGCACTTTATTTCTATTATTATTACATTGTAATATATAATGAAATAATCATACAACTCACCATAATGCAGAATGTAATGCCGCCACTGATCTGACAGGAGGCAGAGCTCAGGCGGCGACGCCAGTAATGGGGAGTGGCTGTAAACAGGGATGAAGCTTCGCTAGCTCATTTGCTGCTCACATCCTACCATGTGGCCTGGTTCCTAAATAAACGGTCCATGGCCTGGAGGTTGGGGACCACAGCTCTACATCATCCCTCAAAATCATCATTCGATTTATGCAAGCATCTAAATAAGAAATGGCATTTTCCATTTTTTTTTTTTTTTATGATCCCAACTTTTAGGAAGGACTCTCACCTTTTGATTGGAAAGCTATCTCAGGTTACCTCCTCTTACTGGCCCTCCTTCTATTCTCGGGAGCCAGGAAGACTGACATAAGCAATTTAAACCCTTTTCTATGATACGGTTTCCAAATGTATGAGAATAATGATCATATCCCTGCAAAGCCTAAACATTCCTGCCTTATTCAATCATTTCTCCTCAGACCTGCTACCCAGGCTCCCACACCCCAGGTACAATCTAAGTCATCTACACCCTTTATAAAATGCAGCACCCAGAACTGGCTGGGAATGGCTGGATCAGTCCTGGATAAACGTAAACAACACCACCTCTGTTGGTCTGAGCACTATATTTCTAGTAATTTGCCTCCAAATAAATTGCGTTTTGACAGCCATGTTACACTGTTGGTTTAAATGGAGCCAACTGACACTACAAGGTGGCAGAGTACGTCTCTTTCATTTGGTACACAATAGGCTGGATTTTACCTATAATGTGCCTCACTTCGACACTTTCCCTGTTACTCATGTGTCCACGCAGTCACTGATTCAGCTGGCCTCTTATCTGGAAACGACTAATCCTGTCCACAGCTAAAATTGTGTTGTTCTCCCACTCACCACAGAAACCTGTTTCTTTCTCATGAGCTGTTGATAAGACAAAGTATGGGTAAACCACTCCCTGATACCAAGTTTCCAGGTAATCAGAACAGTTAAAGTTGACATTTTTTTCCTTAAAACATTTTAAAACCCATACTTTTACACAGAATATCATATATAAAACCATCAGTAACTATGAAACTTTTGTTTGGTTAAGGTTTATTGCTAAGGTTTCTTTCAAAGAATTTTTTGATACTTAAACTTTTATAGAAAAGTTTATAAAGTTCCATAGACATCTATAATTCATAAATTCCAAGGGGCTTTTGGATAGTTGCTTTTTTTAAAAAAATCACTCTAAAAAATTTTCACTTCCCATTTAAAAAAAAAAGTGCACACACATAATGAGGCTAACTGATCATTACATGCTCAGTCACAGGGTGACAGAAAAAAACAGTCACCACCATAAAAGGATGTCTGCATAGTCTCTCTTAAAACAACATGCCACAGTTAACTTACTTCAGTTTGGGCAAATACTGACTGCTACCACACACAGACCTGAACGAGTCACTGAAATGTAAGTACCAGATATTTTGCTTTTTCAACAAATTCTTCTGAGTTAACAAATTCTTTGAAAGCCTAAGTTCTAAGGTAAAAGGTAAAGGAAAAGAATCTATTTAATAACCAGCTACCAACAATTCTAACAAAATTATGTTAATAATATAATTTAGATTCTCTGGTGACTGGCAGTTCTAATTAGCTTTTATTAAGCTATGCGAAAGCAATGGGTCATGCCATAAACATCTTTGCTAAAAAACAGGGCTTACTTTGTTTACTTCTGTGTGAACTTGCAATGACAAAAAATAGTTATCAAGTACAAATCAGCAAATATTGTCAATACTTCAGGATACTTTAATATGAAGGAAAAGGAACTGAATTATTTTAAAATGGAGTATTCCTGCACAAATGTATTATATATAAAATTTAACAAGTTACTTAGCATGATTTAAAATAAAAGAGTCCTTACATTTTAATATTTGATCACTTATCTATGTATACAATGTCTTTTCTATACTTAAGATTATTTCTTAGGATAGAATTCTGATAGTAAAATTCCTGGGGCAAAGGGTATATTTTTTAAAGCCTTAGATATAAAATGGTACTTTTGGTTTACGAAAACATTTTACCTATTTACTATCGTACCAGCAGATAGTAACAGTCTGGGCTTTATTGTCAGCCAATATGGATGTTTTAATTCCAACTATAAACAATTAGATAAAAAAAATCTTGATTGTTTGGTTTATATTTATTTGATGATCAGCAGGGCTAAACATATCTACATACATTTTTCTAGAACTTCTACATGCCTGGAAAAAAAATCACAATGAATTACATGCAGTGATTTTCCAATGTGTATGTTCAGGTTGGGAACAGAGGTAACAGAAACTCTTGGCAAAATATAAGCTGTGAAGAGTCTTCCTCTAAGGGAGAGCGTGAGTTTTTTGGGTTTTTTTTTTTGGTGAGAGGTACAGGTTTTTGGGTCACTCTAAGTACAATATATAGTGCAATGGGTAAGACCAAGGGGGGCTCTGGAAGAAGGCTCAAACCTAGGCTCCATTATTTACAAGCTGTGTGTCCTCCTACAAGTTACCTAATGTCTTCAGTTGCTTCATTTGTAAAATGGGGAGTAATAATACTGCCATGTCCTTACAACTTTGCCTCTCACAGTAAGTGCTAAAAAACCATCATTTTTCTTCCATCTCTTTGTCCATTAAAAGACCAAAAGATGAGTCCAACAGTCAAAGTTTCCTTGCTCTATCATTTCTGTGAGACTTATTTTTCTTGAACTTATTTTCAGATCTTTATTTTACAGGGCATTTTACATAAAGACTGAGTCTATGAATGACCATACATCTAGCTATGCTTATTATTAGGACTCCACATTTGTTAGTAGTTTAGTGCATGTTTTCTCTCTGGGGGCTCATTGTACTTTTTGGACATAAAACTGCAAAGCGCATACTGCTGTACAAAGCATTCTCACTCGCATGCTCATGTATTATGTGGGTGGCTGTGGTGATAATTCCTTGTATAAATTGCTTTCATCTGGCTTCCTAGAGCTTATTAGTACCACGACCAGTCATTTAATGGAATAAACATTAACGCAGGTCACTATACGACTTTCATCCATTTATTCCATAGATATTTACTAGATATCTATTGTAGGTTGATTCTGCAACACTCTATGGGACAAAATGATGGAGGAGATAAAGTCATCATCTTTAAGTTTACATTTACAAAAGAGCTTACCACCTAATAAAGGAGTTTACAAGGGATCCTTTTCTCTCTGCTAGGTTAAGGCCTGTTGGAGTTGTTAAAAGGCCCTGAGTGTGGCATGTGCTGAGGACATGTAGTATATCCTCCAGTCTGAGTAGTTTATCAGCTTCCCGAGAAGTCTGTAAAATATTGGGCATCGATACAAAATGAGATAATGCATGTGAAAATCCTCTGAAAACTGTGGCAGTAATACAGATTCTTATGGTATTTTGAAAGCCCAAAGAGAAAAATAAAAAATATTTTGTTAAATATCTGCAAATACCTAAAAGTATTTGTAAAAGTAATGTGAAACTAAATTAATGGGTACAATGAACACTATTCTGGTGACAGGCACACCAAAAAGTCCTGATTTAAGCATTATACAAGGTACCCTCCTCTTCACCCTTGTTCAGACAGGTATGAGTTAGTATGTGTTAAAGTTCTGAGATGTCTTCCCATTTTATGCTCTACCCAGACCAGATCACGTTGGAAACAGGAACTGGGGATAACACATATTGTACTGAATGTGATTTCTGCCTGGGTTTGAATCCTGACACTTAGATGTGTCTTTAGGCAGCTCACTTAAGTGCTCTGTGCCTCAGTTTCACCATCAGTAAAGGCATTTGTGAATGTTTTGTGAGGATTTAATGAGTGAATACGTGTAGTGAACCCAGGGCAGTGCCTGGAACACAGGCTTAGTAATATTGGTTATTATTACTCATCAAAGGCTTACTGTAGTCTAATAAGGAACCTTTCACTGAGGATCAAGAAAGCTGGGATTTTGCTATTCTTTAACCAGTGGGTATTTATTACATATCAATCATGGGTCAGCTTGAGATAGAATAAATTAACACCACCACACATCCCCACTCACATATTTCAGAAGCTTGCAGGAGGCAGCAAAAAGATCCCTACCACAGACACTATTATGAGCACAGTGCCCTAGCAAGGACACCCCACTGCCTTTCGGGGTGGGGTGCGGGATGACAGAAATCAGGAAAGCTTCCGGGACACCTGGAACTCAGTCTTGAAGGAAAGTAGGAGTAGAGGACACAGGACAGGGGAAGGGGCACCAGACAGAGGGAAGAGTGCTGTTGGCACAGAGCTGTGAGGGAATACGGGACATGCAAAGATTGCAAGTAATTCAATATGGCTGGAGCTAGAGCTCAGTCAGAGCGAAGCTGGCCAGTGACTCGGCTGAAGAGGGAGCGGAGCCTAGTCATGAAGAAAACTGTGAGACATGGTGCAGCACTTGGGGTCTGCCCAGGGTTCCATGGCCTCATGTGAAGGGCCTGGAGAGAGGCAGCTGTAGTGGTTCCAGAGACGGGCAGGTGGCCAAAGGCAGGCAGAGGACAGCACACAGATAGGCAGAGGGACAGACATGGATGTGTGGGGCAGAGCAGAGGCCACGTGCAGAACGGGGCTAGGAGGCTGAGGCATAGGCACTGCTAGCTGACTGCAGGGAGCAGATGAGTGAGGACACGGAGTCCCCGACACCTCCATGACCCCTGCCTTGGCTACCTCAGGGAGATCCTGAGCAAATGACCAAATGGATCTGGAATTCAGTTTATGCATAAATTAAGGATATTTAATGTTCCTAATTTCCATGAAATAACAGAGAAAAAAACAAAATTTCAAACTCCCTTGAACTTAAAGGAAAAAAGGTACATATTATTTCTAGAAACCTTTTGTACTCAGAAGGGAAATATCATAAAGACAGGGCTTCATTATAAAAAACCTCTTGGTAGCATGCAGTTAGTTATCCCACATACAGGATCCTACAAATCACATCGCATGGAGACATAGAGTATCTTTCTTACAGTGAAATGAGTGCTACAGAGGGATTCTTTAGTTTCTTCCAGTTTCCTAAACATTATGTCATCTTCATCTTCAATGACTTCCATACCTTCGTAGTCAGTATTAAAGCCGCCAAAAGCCACACAAGGAATAAATGATCAGTGAAAGAGAAATAGCTGAAATATGTGAAACCCCAAATGTACAAGTGGGTGTTTAGCCAAAGAACCCCATACTCAGGCAGCTTCCACTTTCCCTCATTTCCAATGGATGTGCCTGTGAAGTTGAATGAAGTTGGTCTTCACGGGGTGTCCACCAGGTTCAGGACACCACAAGAGGCACAAAGAGGAAACTGCAGACTGGTAAACACCGTTTTGTTCTGTCTTGAAAAAGTTCTCCGTGCTTTGTTCTGCAAATGGCCTTCTGTAGACATACTGTGAGATGGCCTGAGTGGGCTATGACAAGGGGGCACCAGTAGGGTCACAGGGCTAGGGGCTCCTTGGGAAGGCTGCCCACTGAGCCCCTCACTTTGCCACACTCCCATGGGCCAGAGAAAGCGAGCTCCCCAGGAGGTAGGGGAGGTCCCCACAAATAGACTGACCACAGTCAACTCTCCTCTGAATATCATCCCTCTGCTATGTGTAATTTTTGGGAAGGATACAGGAATCATTGCCACAATCCTTCTAAAACATGAATCATGGAAACAGACATAGCTATCAATTTAGGACTCAAAGCTGGCTGGGGAAAAATCACCTTAAGGTGGAAAATGAAGCTCTTAACGAGATTATGGGGTGTGTACTGACTATCCAGGTGGTCAGTCAACAGCGTGCTGGAAGGGGCAGTGAAGTAATGGCCATGACTGTGCTGGTCACAGCTCCATAACCAGGAATTAATGTTTCCCACCTGTCCATTTTACAGGCAAAGGGCACACACAACAGCTCAGGTGGTGGTTGTTTAGCTAAAAGGAGACGAGAAAATCGTTGGTTGAGAGCTAGGATCCAGCATGTGTGACAGTGGACTAAACTCAGATGTCTCTGTTTGAACAGCAATAGGAGGCTTTTTCAAATAATTAAGAAATACTTACAAAACTAGGTAAGCAGAAGAAGTAAAGAATGATTTCTTTCTTCCACGGAGCATGTTTGTTCTCAAGGGAACTGAAACAGCCTCAGCCACAGTCCTGATACATCTGTGCTTGCCTTATTTCCTCAGTAGAACCATCTGCTTGTGACTCCAGTTAGCCTGGAGCCTTCATCTTCCCCCTCCTTTCCCAATGATTTTATTTCTCCCTGTTCCAGAAATTCCTCCTTGATCTTAGCCTTTCCTCAAGAAAATAAACAAAGTAGCAACAGAAATCAGAGAAAGAATTGGATCACACAACACTTAGCATTTAACAATATACAAATATAATTAATATCTTGGAGGCTCCGCTGGTTGTTTCTGAAAATGTACTCCTGGAATTTCCTCTTCGGT